CAACTGTTTTGAGCACAAAGTTGACCCCCGACACGTCTTCTGCAGACTGCCATCTACAGATTTATAAATAAATGATTAGATGTAAAATCTCCAGAGGATTTTCCTTTTCCACAGCAATTACAGGAGCAGATTATTACCATTCAAGTGAGGTTCCAGCGAAAGTTCTTGACTGGCAGGAATCACTCACTGCTGTCCTCCTGCCGTAAGTCACCATGACAGGAAATCCAATGTTCACATGTACCGTGAACATTTTAACAAGCAGAGTCGATATGCACTGAATGAACACATTCTTGAGTTAAAATATATTACTGTCAATAACAGACTGAATTAAGAAAGCAGAAGTTTCAAATGTGATCAATGTCAGGAAGAAGTTTTCCATATTTCATATCTGCACATTGTTAAAAGTTGCCATGTGCATGGAAGTCTAATATTCACTTAGACATTTTCTCTTTGGCTGTTGTTGTCCAAATTTTTAAGTCATTTAAACACAAGGTAATGAGGCTTAACAACGAGTAATCAAATGAACAGTATCTAGGTTAGCACACATTTTTCTATTCTAAGAGTTCTCTTTCTTCCTTAACTTGCAGGTGAGAAAAATCATCTTCTACCTTTGGGATTCAGTTTCATTTCAAGAACAACCCTTGCCCCTGCAGCTCCAACATACACACACTTATACACAGAAACTGGTTCTCTAAGATTCACAGCAGCAAAGCCAAAACTGTCCCCCATTCTTGACTATTTTCTCTTTATTATAGATTGGTATGTAGTAGGGATTTTTAAAAACCTTTACATTTTGAAATTGAGTCATACTGAAATATTTAAAAAATTATAATAGAGAGAACTCCCACGTGCCTTTGTCTAGTTTTATGGAAGCATAATCTTTTCTACAGAATCACAGTGCACTGTCAAAAGCAGGAAGCTGACATTGTACAGTGCTGTTAAGCAAATGGTGTATCTCATTTAGATGCCATCTACTTTTCACACTTTTAAAAATTTAGGTTGTTATGAAATTAAAATAATTATGCTTTGCAAATGAAATTTTATTATATATTTAGGTTCCTATAGCTATAACCCCAAGCAGGATACAAAACTGACTGATCATACAAAGACAGTCCCTCCAGCCACCCTATGTAGACATGTCTCTCTCCCACCCTAGTCCCTGCTAGCCACTGATCCCATCTCCATCACTGCAAGTTCATCACTCTGTGAGTTTGATATAGTCACATCTGTTAGGACTGGCTTCCTTCACTTAATATAACGGCTTTTAGGTCCATCCAAATTGTATCATGTATCAATACTTTATTGCTTTTTTTATTTCTGCTTTTGTAAGTATTCTACTTAATAGATGGACTACAGATCACTTTTACTTTCATCTTTGAAAGGACGTTTGAATTGTTTCTAATTTGCTGACATTACAAATAAAGTTGCTATGGACATTTATATACAGTTCTCCAGGGTGTCTGGGAGGTGTGCAATGGTGTGCACAACCCTGAGGTTTTGATTTTTAGCTCCCTATTGACTACCAATGAACATCTTTTGATGTGCTTTTTACTGTAGATACATTCTCTTGATAAAGGCCTGAAAATTTGGGTAACTACAGCCAAAGAACCAACCAAGTCCTTACACAGGGCAAGTGATGGTCAGGGGAGGCTTTGCTGAATGGGTAGGGAGGAATTATTTTTTTTGGAACGGGGAGGAATTCCTGAAGGACTGGCTAAAGTGAGCAGATAGGGGATGGTATTTACTCAGGGAAGAGTGGGCCTTGCAGTTCCTATCAAAGAGTTGTGTGCTTCCCAAGACTGGAGGACAGGTACCTGCTCAGCAGGCTGGGGCCCTGGGCAAAGGGTCCTCCAGCAAAACACAAGGAGATGGGAATTCTTCCAGAGACAGTAGAAAAAATTAAAAATAAGCCAAGAAAAATTCAATAGTTAAAACAATGACAAGAAGCAGCAGCAGATATTCTTGACTAAGAAAGCTCCGACATATAAGAGGCCTGTCATGAGTCAGGGTTCCGAGAAGAAACTGACTTCTGCAGGTAGAATGCCTGCAAATCATAGCTGAACCCCATCACTGCTTCACCCTAAGACAGTCACTCTTTCTCATTTTACAAGAAAGCTTCTAGGTATCACCTAGGTTCAAAGAGCAGAACAGATGCTACCAGAGAAGCACAGGGAAAAGGTCTGTGTGGCCACTAAGGCAGAAGAGCAGGGAGAAGAGCCTCTAGGACACTACTACTCTGAATGGCCACTAGGCTCAGGATCAACATCTGGACAAGCCTGAAGGGGCCCAGCAAGGATCCAGGCACTGGGCATCTGCTCCTCATACCTGCGGCTGGTGCTAGGGACAAAAGAGCTCCACATGGATCATAAGGGAGTTGTTTTAACTTCAATCAGGAGAGCAGTGAGAACACACTGTAGGATGGAAATGGATGAGAAGGGCTTCCTGGGAGCCAGCTCTTGACCCTTCCCTTCCATGCCTGGATGTTTGAATGTCTGTGGATGGATGCCAGGAAAGGGGGCTTCTCTGTTAACCCTGGAGCATCAGAATAGGCTCTTTTCCAGTGATGGTGAACCTTTTCCTGCTTTCAGTGATGCAAACAGCCTGCTCTGGCACGTGTGCCGTAGGTTCATCACCACTGCTCTATTCCAGCCCTTCAATAGCCCTGTACTGGATCCCAAAGTCAGGCCTGGGAAATACCATGTGAACTCAGGCTGGCTCCTATGGCAAGAGATTTTAACTAGTTTGCCTTTCCTCAGCATGTACAATTCACCAACCTTAATGTAAATTCATAGAAAGTCTACAAGTCATACAGTGGGTTAAAAAAAAAACCTCTTCCTTGTACTACAATAGCATGTAATCGCTGTCACAAATCGATAGGATATGAGTGAAAGGAGTGTACAAGGTCTGTGAGCTGTGCTCATTTGCTCCTGAATTGCACCGCAGCATAATACTGCTGCTTGGCTGGCCTTTTTTTTTTAAATCAGAGAAATTTTCCAGCCTCTACACTTAAACAGTGGGATTAGAATGAGAATGGTATAATGGAGAGTGGAATGATCTGTTCAGTCACAGCAATTTTGGGGAAATTACTTTTAATTTTGTGACATTTTTATATTCCCATGAAGTATGTAGAAGTTCTCTGTATAACTATAAAAATGATGTGTTGTCTGGTAAACAAAACACTTCTGACTCTAACTTGCAAAGAAGGTACTAGTTTTGTTTCTTATGGCTAATTTTTGCTGTTATTGTTTCAATGGCATGAAGAGAATGTAAGACAGCTATAAGTCCTCAAGGCACCAATGCTGGAAAGACTAAAATCTTTCATTCCAGGATGAAAGTGCATCATGGATTTGTTTGCTGACCATTTTCTCCAACAACAACAAAAAAACACATCTCAACTTTAAATTCCCCAAAGGCCATTCTGTACTTCAATAAAATGTTCGACATTCAGAGGGTTATACTCTTGGCAGGAACATTTTACAAATATTTCACTTATTTTCTTAATTAGATACATTTCCCTTCAGTTATTTCCACAATTTTTGAACTTGGCTTTACAGAACCTTACAGCCATATAGATGTCCACGATGCTTGGGAAAAAGAAAAGCATTTGCTGGTCAGACAACACTGGCTCTTGCAGCTCTCTGCCCTCAGATCAGGCTCCACTCCGTCCGTCCCACAAAGGTTCCAACTCTGTTCAACCAACCCGAAGTTCCTAACCATTCTGTTTAGACCCTTTGAGCACAGTGAAACTTCATAAAGTTTGGGAAACAGATATTATCAGAGTGTAAAATTTAATCAAACTAAGTGTTCTATAAAAATACTTTAACCCAAAACTCTTGCTTTGAAAGCTTAAAATAAAATTGGTTAATCTTATGACTAGTGTTTCCTTTATACTAAGGATGCTCTTCTTAAGGTGACTTTTAAGTTATGGCTCTGTATCACATAAGTCGCATAAGTGACTTTTAAGTTATGGCTCTGTATCACATGTACTGCACATACAACATAGCTGATGAGAATAATACAGTATGTTTTACCCCATAGATATCATGAAAATGTTATGTAGTGAATTTCCCTCAAGGCACTAAGGATTTGATAACATTTTTATGTGAAGTTTAAGGTTCATGATAAATATCTTACAGTGTGCTTCCTACTGTCTCAACTGAAAGATATATTCTCAGAAAAGATTTTTATTTGGTAGGTGGAGTCTTTTTCTCATGCCTGAAGTGACTGGAGGTGACCTATGCTATCTCCCTCAGCCCTGCCAAGAGGCATAAGTAGCTAAACAAGAACGGCAAAGTATTGCACACTGCATGGCTGACTGTTCTCTGCCTCTCACAAATGACAGGGGTCTGCACTTGTTTCTGCTAGAGAAGAAATCTACCCAGGGTGGCACAGCTTTCCAGAAGTATCTTCTGACAGTGGCCTTTGCTAGCTTATACATCTGCAGGAATTCAAAGTACAGAAATAAAGGAACTAGGTGTGGTGGTACATGCCTGTAATCCCACCACTCTGGGAGGCTGAGGCAGGAGGATCACAAGTTTGATCCTAACTAGGGTAACTAAGTGAGATGTCTCAAAATAAAAAGTGAAAAAAGGGCTGATGATGGAGCTAAGTACGAAGGCTCTGAGTTCAATCCCCAGTACTGAAATCGGGGGGCAAAGGGAAAAGGGAAAACCACTGCTAATGGTTTGACTTTGATCACTATGATACAGTACTACATTATTTCAGGTCTCTAAAATAGTAATCCGGAAGCCCTTTCTCCTTACTGCTCAGACTGAAAATAATGGCTGCTACATGGAGCTTCCACACATTCTTTGCTCAAGCCTCCTCTTTTGAATTTTATGCTCAACCTTCCTGAGAAGAGTGTTTCTTGGCCATAATGAAGGGGGGAGGCTGGGCGGCCTCCATAGTTACACCGTGGGCTTGGTATTCACAACCTGTCAAGGTAGCTTTATGACCTCACAGCCAGCTGCTATAATTCCAATAATGACCTGGAGACACCAAAAGAATCTAAATTTATCACTGTTCCTTGTAGGACCTGTTTCATCACTGAGCAGAAGGGCTGGAGGAGGGAGGTAGGTGATGGAGATACTCCAGGAGCCTTGCCTGACGCTTAGTGGTGCTGGTATCAGCCAGCATGGTGTGGCCCTGAACCCCTGCCTGGCCTGTACCCCTCACCTGCCCAGGTCCCCACTGCAGCAGCCCCACTGTCACCATGGTGCATGGTGGGGAGCAAAGCCGCTGCTTTCTGCCAGCAGACAGAAACACTCTGTGGGCTGTGAGCCACATATAATGCCATTTCCAGGAGCAAAGCGGCAAGAAAATGTCACTGACTGATGTCAGAGTGGGAGATGGGCTTCATGGCAAGGCTCCCTGGCAGTGGAGAAGGTAGGGAGGAGAGCCCTGCTTGCAAACAGACCAGAAAGTTCAGTCTTGAGGTAAGCTTCTCCTGCTCCCCATTAGATCCAGGCACTACTCAGAGTCCTGCCTTTTGGAAGAACAGAGCAGAAGTTGTCAGAAGGGTTAAGATTTACTGATTTATGGCAACCCTGGAAACAAGAAAACCTAGCATGTGTTAGAATGGGACAAGTCAGGAGGAAAACAGCATCACATAAAACCATTAAAAATAATTGTAAGTAATAGAAAATGATTTTCTGCACAAAAACGGAAAATACAAGGCTGAAAATATGTACACAGAAGTTTTTTATTTAAACACACGTTTCAGGTAAATCAACTCCAATGATTGTTGCCAAGAAGGTCTGTTTGCCCTGGACCACTAGGGATGCTCACACATCTCACAGCCAAAGCAAAGGATCTGCTGCCCTGCCCGTGGGTAGTCACCACTAATGCAGGACAATGGGTTGCATATCCTACCATAGCTACTGGTGAAACTGTCACGATTTCAGACTCATTGAAATAAGACTCCAGAAGTCTCTAATCAATAACTGTTTTTTCAAGTGCTAGGACCACAGGTGTGCGCTACCATACCTGGCACAAAAAATACACTCTTGATGCTCAGTACTACCATTGTTTATACTATACGGAATGTATTCTCTGTGCTTAGAAAGTGAAATATGAGATCATTTCACTTTCACTATCTTAATTTAATGCATCTGTTTGCATATTTACCAAGAAACTCCCAATGAGATAGAAAATTTCATTTCTTCGTGTGCTTTTTCTGCAGAACAGTCTTCTATAATGGTATCTTTTATTTAAAAGAATCAATTCATCAATTTAAAAGTGATTATAATTATCAAATGATTATTCTCTATTAAAGACACTATAACTCCAGCTGTACTCTTAGCACAAGGCAAACCTGATGTGGCCCAGTCGCTCTCAGCTGTGTCATCCTGTTGATATGAGCCCCTTCCACACTGACCTTCACAAAGTGAGTGCCAAAGGATGACCTTTATAGGACAGCAGTGTTGAAGTGAGAGGTCAGCTGGGGTTGGCCCTCTTTCTTCTGAGCAGGGAGATACTTTCCTTCACTAGTCCCAGCTATTGGTCTCTCTGTTGGTCTCTCCAAAGCTCATGCCTGATGACAGGCAGTGATGACACGTGGCATGGATGCCAAACTGGGACAACAAGCTTCTTACAGAGCCTATTTATATCTCTGTACTACATCTTTACAACTTGGAGCACAAGATTTTATTACCATGGAGACAAGGGTGTGGGATACAGACAGGATAGAGGATGGACAAATGTTCATAAAAGCAAACAACCACACCCCTGGAAAGAGACAATAGGAGTCAGGCCTGTCCTGGCCATTGCTGTGGATGGAGCACCTGTTTTCCGCTTGTTTCACACGGAGACAGTGGCTTTGCCCCAGCTTCCTGGCTGAGACTGGCTACACTAGGCATTTGTCCTTAAAGTATGAGTGCACTTCTGCTGAGACAACGGGACTCTTACATGCCTCCCTCCTGACTTGGTATGCAAAATGGTAGTGCACAGAGATGAAACAGGGTCATGACCTCCCACAGCTATAACACAGTGGTGCTTGCCCTGAAACCTGGCAGGTTTTGGTTTCTGAAAGGGGACCTGTGGGGCAGTGGTACTGGATCAACTGAGTAATACAGTCTAGTGACCTCTTCTCACCAACCTGTGTGCCAGTCTCTTAAGACTGCTGCCAGCTGCCCTGGGAGACACCATCTTCCTTCTCTAACAATTCCCTTTTTCCCTTGATTCTCTCAAGAGGTCCCAGCAGCAGCTCTTAATCCACCTCTCTAACCTATACTTCTGTTCTCTGTCTGCCAAATGGACCTGTGTATCCACAGCAGCTCATAAGCCTGAAGAGCACCAGTCCCAACACTGAAGTGGTCACTCCTGCCACACACCTGGCTTTCTGCTCATGTCCCACTCTCCTGAGCACTGCACTACTATAAGTCAATAAACTGCACCATGGGGCACTCCTCTGCCTGCTCCACGCTGCCTCCCCTATTGGTCAGAGTCTTCTTGTTTTGAACACTTGTCGCTTCAATCTGTCCATTGCTGGTCATCACTACAGCCATCCCACTGCTAACCCAAACTCCCCTCCCCTCCTGCCTAGATCATTGGGACTGTCCATTTCCAAATCCAACACTCTCCACACCTATAGCAAGGGTGACAGTCCAAACCAGAACTCCATTAAGGCAACCCTGGGCTCTTGCATTCAAATGGCCAGCAAATGCTCTTACAAATCTCACAGTACTGGTCCCCAGGTCCTCTTCAATCTTAATTTGGCTTCTTTTTCCTGCTATGCTGCACACTGAGCACACGGGGGTCCTCCCAGATGTCTCTAGGACACTGTGTAATCCTACTCCAGAGATGTCAACATGTTCTTCCCCTTCCCATGGCTCAACTCTCATTTAAATAGTACACCTCAGGGAAGCCTCCACTAATCCCACATATAAGATCTGAACCCCATCGTATGTTCTCCTGATGCCTGGCAGTTCTCTTGGTAGTGCTTCCCTCAACTAGAATTGAGTATGACTTACTCATTAGTTGTTGAACATCACCATCTCCTATACACCGTGGATTCCATGTGGCCAGGGATACCATATCTTAATCTTATTATCATGTTCCCAACACAGGTCCCAATACATATTTCAGGAAGGGAAGATTTGGCCCACCAAGGACCTCTGAAATAAAAGACATCATCTAGAGCTCAAGGACTATGAACACTGAAGGCATCCTAGCTTCTCAACTATCTTCTGGGATGTTGTCTCAAGAAGACGAAGTGACCAAGGCTTTCCCACGTTCTCTAGAAAGTTACTTAACTTTCATTTTTCTTTGCAAACTTTTTTCACATTTTAGGACTGTGTTTCATTCTGCCATCATGATAACTAAAAAAAAGTCATTTGCATTTACATCAAGTCCTTGCTCTCAAACACAAGCAACAGACCTTAAGAGAAGACAGACACAGGAAGGGAGTAGACTTTACGAAAGCTACCCTGGGAGCCACTGAATGGGGTGGTGGTGGTGATGATGGTGGTTACCACTGCAAAACCAGCAGGTCCTTAAGGCAGACCGTTGATTAATAATAGGCATTCAGCTCCCACCACTAATGATGTGGTACCAAAACATCAACACTCATCCTACAATATCAAAATTAGTCAGTGTGAAGTCTTATTTAAAGAATGAGTAACCTCAGTATTAGAATAAAAAAAATTTTTGAGTGGTTATCAAATTGGATGATTTTGCCCCCAGCCCCAGAGCAATTATGTCTTAACATCTTACTGTGGTTTGGATCTTAAGTTTCCCAAATTACATGTTCCCTTATTTTTAAAACTATTTCCATATACATGTTAATTTGTTTCAGTTACACTAAAAGTTTATCCTGTTTCTTTTTTTGTAAGAGTATTTTTGGTTAATGTCTTATACTGAGTAACTACTTTGAATATAACAATATATCATGTAATAACTGTTGTTATTCTCTTTATTATTTGGTTATAGAAACATGATTTTTTCATAAAATTAAAAAATACTTTGTGGAAAAAAGAGAAGTGTCTTAAAGCTCATATGCTGAGGGGCTGGCCCCCTATGACTCAGTGTTCATGGGTGGGACCTCTGGGAGGTGAGTGTATCACACGGACTCTGACCAATTAGTCTATTGATGGATACACAGCTTAATGGGTTTTAAGGGAAGGGCTTTGTTACGGAACCTGGCTCTTTGTATTCTGGCCACTATGAGACAAGCATCTTTACGCTACCACATCCTCCTTGCCACAGTCCTTCACTTCACCACAGGCCCAGAGCAACGGGGCCAAACGGCCATAGACTAAAACTTCCAAACCATGAGCCAAAATACACTTCTTTTCTTTAAATCGATTATCTCAGATATTTTGTCACAGGGACAGAAAGCTAAGGTACATCTTAAGATGGCATGAAAGAACTCTTGCATTTATTTTAATCAAAGGCAGTGGAGACAATTTCATAGCACTCAAGACAGTTAAAGCAGAGGAGTTAGGAATGCCTTCCTGCAGTAGCCGAACAATTGCTGCATGCATGGCCCTCGAGCATTTGCAGCTCAGTTCATCTTTCAAACCCAGGCTGAAGCAACCACCTTGTTGCTTCCGATCGATACTTTAAAATATTTAGCAAAGACCTATATAAAAGGGATTAGGTTTAGCAAAAGGTATGACTCTTCTTTTCCTATAAATTTCCATTATGTTTTTATATAAATGATGTTCAGTAAACTTACTTAAACATATTAAATACCACATAAAACCCAATTTCAGATGGTAAAAACTGGTATGAGAAAAATTCTTATCACCCATGATACTTTCATTTCTCACAGTTTTGGAAATACAGTGGCCACAAACTGAATCAAATTTCTCCATAAAATCAACATTCAACCTAACCACTGAATTTGACTGGGTTCTTGTCCAACTCAGTTGTGACCAAAACTGTGGAATGAATCAAGTTTGTGAAATGAGGTACCACTACATGAGGTGGCGGTTTCTTCAACTGACATATTCAGGCCAAGAGTACTCACAACCTGGAGAACTGGCATCAAGATAATTTTGACTGGAACCAGAGGGCTGACATCACCCACCTACCCCAAGACACAACAGAAAGCCTAGGTGAGAGTGGATGGTAGCCTGCAGAATGAGTGCCCAATAACACTTGACTACTGGCCTTGCCTGCAAGGCAGCAGGCATGGGAAGGGTGTCTTAACACAGATAAAGACCTTGAAATAATTTTTTGGGGGGCTGGGTATCTGCATATATAAAATTGTACTTGTGGCAGAAAAGTGCTACAGATCCCCTGGTAAAGATGAAAAGGTAGGAGGGAGAAGTGTATTTTGTTCCTTTTAATACAGAATTTTTTTGAAATCAGTTTGTGGGATTTGAACTCAGCTTTGAGACATGGGTAGGTCATACAGTAAAAGCTCACAGTGGCCATTCTGGATTAGGGCTCCAAAAGAAGTAACAGTCCTCTGGAATGAAGTGTCATTTCCCTGAGAGGTGTCACTGAGATGAACCCTGTACAGCTGTGGGCAGTACAGGCTGCCTTGCAGGGCCCTCTGAGCCCTGTCATTTTGGGGGATGACTCTAAATGGCCACCCTGCAAGAGTAAGGGTGATCTGTCATTAGACCAAACTTTAAAGGAACTAGAGCTCTGCTCCAAACATATTTATTCTGAAACTAGAATGAGCCAATCCTAGACTCCTAGTGCCCCTGCCCCTCCTGGAGGAAGAAAAAAAAAAATCCTCCCAGGCAACATGTCATTTCTATGTAAAAATTTTCAAATGTAATAAGATGACATAAAATAAAAAATAAGCTACACGAACAGACAAGACAATATAAACAGAAACCAGTAGAAACAAGGACTAAAACTAGATCTCAAGGATTCCAGATGTTGGAACTTAAAATGACTGTGTTTTACTAAATCCAAGTAGAAATTAAAAAAAAAAAAGCAAGGTAGTGAAATACAGGGAAAAATCCAAAACTATTTTTAAAAATGAATAATATTTTCCTACAAATGCCTCAAATTCATCCTGCTTTATAGCCAAGTAGTATTCCATTATGTACAGATACTACATTTTCTTTATTCAATCATTTGTCAGTGGGTATTCTGACAGCTTTCAGGATTTAACTATTCTGTACTGTGCTGCTGTAAACATTGGTATGCATGTATCACTGTAGTAGGAAAATGGATGTATCTGGAAAATATATAAGTCACACACGCTTAAATACTTTATGGTATCTCTCATTTGAGTAAAGCAAAGTACAAAGAGAATAATAAAGGATGGATGGAAGGAAACAAGGGGATGGACCTCTTACAGATGGGAAGGGGATTTAGAGGTGAGGGAAGCAGGTAGGTGAAAAGGGGAAAGGGATTTAAAAAAAGGGAAATGACCTATATTGTGTATATGTACCCCTCCCCAACAAATATAAGTATGTACTTGCAAACATGTACTAATAAAGTTTTAAAAAGGAATACTATAATTGATGTTACTGAAATAACATATTCCATGAATGAATTTTAAACCAGATTTGGCATAGTAGGAAAGAACTTTTGTGAATCATGCAGATAAAGTAGTGAAAATAATGAAGAGATATCACAAGATTAGGAGGCACAGTGAATTTTATTATATGTGTAAGTGGGTTCACAGAAGCAAATGTGAGAGACCAGTACAAAAGCTATACTTAAAGAAATGAGCCAAAAATATTCTAAAACTTTTTTTATTAGTACATGTTTGCAGTACATAATGATTACATTCATCATAAGGAGTTGCAGATATACATACATGCACATATACAACTTAATTCTTTTTTCAATCCCTTCCCCTTTTCTCCTTTCTCCCTTCCTCCACCTTAAAAGTCATTGAGCTGTGGATTCAGACATCCCTATGATCTCAATGCAAAAGAAGAAGCAGATGTGCACATCTAGTCAGAATCTAGAGAAAAGGCTCTACTTCAAAGAAGCAACACTTACATCAGTAGCTGACTTACCAAAAACATGGAAGCCCGAGGAGAAAGGCATGACATCTCTAGATTCTGAACAGTATAACTGCCAACCCCAAGCTCTACAAGAACATCATTTAAAAAAGAAAATAAAAACAGACTTTCTTACTAGAAATTCCACATGAATAAAACACTTGAAGGTAAAGAACACTGTGCTGGTAAGTATCTAATAGGCATTCAAAGGCAAGTTTTCATGAAGATATGCATTTTTTAATCAAAAAGTTTTTTCTGATATAAAGGGAAGGTAGCACACAATTTATGAATAAAATATACCAAAATGTTTATTATAAATTATGTGTATCCAACTGGTTCCTACTGAATGTCTTTGTTTATTGCCTGTTGTGGATGCAACATGTAGTCCTGTATAAATGGTAACAAGAGGAAGGTGAAGAAGTTGAAGGTACAGAATAGTGTGTATTTTGCAATGACATAAGTGACTGATGAATCAGATAGTAATTTTAACTCTAGGATGAAAATTTTTGTGCTATTCAAAATATAATGGTTAAATATAATATACCCTTAAAATTAATGTGCATTATTAACATTCACATTCTTTGTCTATATCACTGAATGACAAACACTTTCTTAAAGGGCTGATGGTACACAGTTTAGGGCCATATGGTCTCAGTCTCAACTATATGACTCTACTATTGTGCCTGAAAGCACACAAAGGCAAGATACAAATGGATGTGGTTGTGTCACAATAAAACTTTATTTATTAAAAAAAGCCCAGCTCCAGCCCTAGTTTACCATTTCCCATTCTAGATAATGAAATAAATGAAACTCCAATTAGTTGTACTTTCTTATTCATGTTGTATAAACGCTTCCACCAGAGATGATTTCTAGCTAGCAGTGTGACAGCACTGAATGTAGCTTTGACATCCTCAGAAGCACACCATGATAAAACTGACCTCAAAGGCACAGATAGTCCAGGGATATAGCTCAGTGGCACAACGCCTACCTGCCAAGTGCAAGGTTGTGAGTTCAATTATGGGTACCAAACAAAACAAAACAAAACAAAACAAAACAAAACAAAAAAACCCCACAAAGGCACAGATATCAGTGAAATTAGTACAACATTGGAGGGGATGAATTTTGAGTATGTATTACTTTTCCAAATGGAATATACTTAAATGTAAATTATGTAATTTAACTTTTAGTAATGGATCTCTTTGACAACAAGGTCATGAAATTCTCATTGAAGAATTGGCTCTTCTAAACTCCTCTGAGCTCACCATGGCTTAAAAGGTATTCTTTAGGTTGAATGAAAACTACCACAAAAAGGCTAGAGAAACAGAAAAGATGAAAAGCAATAAAAGTGGTACACCTCTATATATACCAAAAAGATTATCTGCTGAATTAAACAATATTTTAAAGCTGGGTATATTGAGATACAATTTGCATGGAGTAAAGTGCATCCTTTTCAGATGTGCAGTCCAGTGAGACTGACATATGTGCAGCTGTATCACCAGCATAGCAATTAAGACACTCCAGAAAGAACACTGGAGGTTTGTCTCTCCATGATTTTGTCCATCTCATATCAGTTACCATACATACTGGCAAAACTGTACATATGTCCTTATTAATCTTTTAATGTCTGTAGGATCTGTGATGAGTTCCCAAATAATATTCACTGGGGTAATTTGTGCATATTTGTCTAATAAGTCTAATTAAACAACAGCAGAAAGAAATAGGACGTTTTTGCCAAATAAAAGCCATTCTGAGCTGTTTTAAATGAATAGGGTAAAAGTGATAAATGCTTTTGCATTAATTAAGTATGGCTAAAAATGCATACATACCATTTACAGTGGATTATTTGTTTAAATATATCATCTACCTAATAA